CTTGCTTGCCTGTTTGTTCCTATTTCTAGCTGACAGCAGGAACAGTAAGCACAATGTTAGCATTCTCTTATTAATGGCACATACTGGTTGGCCCAAGGTCACCCTCTTCACTCATCCCTGTGGTTCTTGGTGGGATGTGTTTTTTCCCCCTTAAAATTTCTCAAGGTGACTTTTGTTTAGCCCTCTGCCTTCAGGATGTGCCTTTATTTCTTGCTTATTCAGGCTGTGTTGTAGAGAAAGGAAGCTGAGATGGCCAGTCTTGTGGAGAGAGAACTGAGCTGTGCTTGCAAGGAGTCGGGTGTTTCCTGATGCTTTGGTGTCTAACACCCTGCTGCCCCTACAACCATGGGTTGTCAAGTCGGTTATCCTGTCTCCGAGGCTCACCAAGCTCCAAACGAGGTGCAAAAAGCTGTAGCATAGGTGTCATGGTGTGACGCTGAACAGCAAGGAAGGGGGAAGAGGTCTCTCCTTCGCCACAGCTGATGAAGCCCCAAAATTGTGGTTGTTGCTGGTTATTGGGATTGACGTGGCCTCTGTTCTGACACTGAGCAGCCTAAACAAGGACAATGCTGAGTACATGCATCCTGTAATTGTTGCCAACCAGCTGCCAACAGGTGACTGACTCTTATCTATTACTCTTCTTAAAAAAACCCCCAAACTCAAACCATAATCCTTTTAAAAAAAATCAAAAGGTTTATTTCTTTAGAGGCTGATTGTCACATACGCTGCTAAACAGTCATGGTGCTGAAGGGATTAAACCCGGGGCAGATAAGAAGTTTCAGTGATGTTTTATTTGGAACAGAAAAACTTGTGGCTGGAAATCTTCACTAGAAAAATAATGGTTCAGAACCAGGGATTCCAATTTCTCAGACCTGCGGCAAAAAGTATCTGTTGAGATGCTCAAGTATGTTATCTGTGTGAGTACCTTGCTGTTTGTGCTGAGACAGCCAAGTAAACTTAAGCTGTGCTCCTGTTGTGAGTGTTTAGGTGATGGATCCTGTGAATAGAGGGCATCTGCACATAATGCAAATGCATTTAGGTCTTTTTATGCTCTGATGAGCATTGAATTTTGATTGCTCATTAATGCAAAACCTTCAGATTTTTGTTTCAAGCTACCAACTAATGGTCTACTGGGGTTTTTAATTGTATCGAGGACAGGCGCATATGTAAGTTAGGAAAGAGCAGGATGGTTAGCACATAAATATACCTCACAGAGACCCTTCCACGCTTGGTTACAACCCAGCTTTCTGATTGCTCATCAGGGACAGCCAAACAGGCTTCTGGATGCTGAAGGCGCAGGCTGTTCTTCCTAGGCATTTGCTAGACTGTTAATTGGAGCTCCACCGAGTTTCTGCTGGTCCCTGCCTGTGCTTCATCTACTTGTCTTTTAAGGAGTTTGTGGTCTACCTGGAAATCTTGCAAGCAGCTTGGGGTGGGGGGTGGGGAAGCAATCTGCATCAGTTATTTTCTCCTTCATTAGATAAATGCCTTGCACGTAAAAATCTGAATGCCTAATTACCAGGTTGTGGTATTTAAACTGCTGTAAGGGTATTTAAACTGTACTGTAAATGCTGAAGAAACTGAGGTCAGATTTTGCAGTTTATTTTATTTACGTCGCAGTGTCTGTGAGGGTCGGGGGTGTTCACTGAAGCTAGCATAAAACATCCTGCGAGTCAAGAAAACGAAGCCAGTTTATAGCTGTCTAAGAAGCTAACGTAACCTGAGGGAAAAATAAAATCACTTCAGGGTGATATTACAAAGACTCAAATAGATGTGGAGAAAGGCAGTTAAAGACCTTTAAGGGGAGATGACATCCTTGGTACCTGTACAGTAAAACACAGCGAGGCATCCGTCAGTGACTCACATCAGAGATGAATCACATCTCTGCGTTGTACCACATTGCTCCAGGGCAAGGTTATGAACAAACTTTACATACTGTGAAATACAGGATGCCATCCCCCCACTCCTCACCCCCTTTGATAACCTGAAAAGGCAGGCACCTAAGTATAGACTAATGAATATGCAAATTGCCATCCTAATGAGGGAAGTTGTCCGCCAGAGAACAGGTGAAGACTAAGCAAACGCATGTCGCCCTTTGGGCTTCTGTACTTCCTGCGGCCACATCCCTGTCTCTCGCTAACATTTATATGTTTAATTATATTACATATTACTATATTACATATAGTTTATATGTATATCAGGGCCCACCCCCCCCACACAAGGGGTTCATGGACACAATACTGAAATTCACAATCCAGAATTACTAAATTTCAGAGCTTTAATTTGCCTTTAACACAGATGAACTCAGTGGGCCGAGTCCAGTTCCACACTGAGCCGAGGCACTGAGATGGTACCATGGCAGGTTTTGGAAGCCACCCTCAGAAGTCCCTTGGGGGCTGCTTCCCAGGACAGCCTGCGTGTACATCCTCAGAGCTAACTCCTTGCTCCGAGCCATTGTCAAATTTAATTTCTTTCCGAATAATTCTGCATGTAGCTGGACAATGTGTCTTGCAGTTGCTTACTGCCTGGTCGCAGCCTCATGCCCTAGGCTAAAATGAGCACTAGTTAAGATCAGAAAACAGAAGATGAGGTTTGGGAGATAGAAGAACCTGGGAATGCATGTGTAAAACAATAACGCTGTGAGCATGAGAAATGAAGAAGCCTGACTTCCTATGGAGTTATTTCTTTTTGTTGGTTGCAGGATCTGAGAATTTATTAATACCGATTTAGGTCTTTCTCCTAATGAGGCATCAAGAAAGCCTCTCTCCTGTGCATCCTTTTGTGTTGGAAAAAGATAAGCATTGCACTTCAGCTTTTTTCCCCAGCTAAGGTATGCTTAGGATCTCTCTTCTGCACCTATTTTCAATTATTTTCATGACATTTGTAAGAACATACCTTTGAGAGCATTTCCCCTCGGTCAAAATCGACCAGAAGTCAGTCAAGTTATACAGAGCATATACATGTGTACATGTGGAAGCTAATGATTTGCTAAGCCTCACGTCCTCGGGACATCAGGCTAAAATAAAGCAACTGTCGTGTCTCTGAATAAACAGAACAGTGCTGTTGCTGCTGAGACCTTTCCCACTTGAAGTACAGTCAGGATCTAGTTGGCAGGGCTGGTTTAGCTGTTCAGCAGCTAAGTGAGGATGTGGTGTCAGTGAATATGAGAGTGCTCTGAGATGGAGTATCAATGGCAGGAGAGGAAATAGTCACTCGGGCTGCGAGGTGTAGTACACCTCATCCTGCTACTTGCTGTCAGGAGGGAACAGGAGGACTCTCAGTCAGCGCACAATGACTCGCCGTGATCAGGCAATGGACTACCCTGTCTTGAAATAAATGTACAGGGTTCAGGGGAAAAATCCCTTCTTTTTCAGAAGTGTGGTGGAGAAACAGCAAGATGCCTGCTGCATGATCTCTCCACTGGGAAACTGTGTGCTACAGCGGTGGATAGTCTCATGGTAATGCAACAGGAAGAGCCCTTTAAGCAAGCTGCAGGGAGCTTATTTACAAGTGCTTTCCTCCTACAGAGACCCTCTGTGATATTCTGGTGTGGAACAACAGGCGATCATTGATGTTTTCCCCTTTCATAGACTGGCTAGCATGTGTTTTGGTTTTGCACGCTCTCTCTTGCATGCAGCAAAACCAAAGCTGCATGAATAGGAATGAGGGACAAGAGGATTTAAAAGCTGAGAAGTTTCCCACCCACTGCACCTTGTGTGTTTTTTGGGGTGGTGGTGATGTGCTGTGCTGATCAGAAACTGGCTCTATACTCCTGCAAGAGTCCTCTGCATGGATTTATTTTACTCTTCCAACTAGCTATATGATTAATAAGTTCTTTAGGGTCTTTTTCTCTAGCAAAGAGAAACTTCAATCATATTTTAAACCAGTGGCAGGAAATGTTTTCTTAAGTATAGGTTTTGGAGGACTCCAGGACCATTCATTTCAGAACTGCTAACCCATAAGAGTAACTGGCAGTGAACACCGTATGCTGAACATGAGCTTTGGGGTAAAGCCTTTTGCCTCCCTGCACCTGTTTCGCAGAATTGCCGTTTGCCCAAGAGATGGATGAAATGTGTTTGTTCAAATGATAGGCGCCTCCTGAATGGGAGAAGTGTTGAACGCATGACTTCACTCCTTGGTTCAGAAGGCAGGTCCAGAGGGAATGGATCAGCGGCAGAACTGTTGATCTGAGGTAGAAATATTCCTCAGTTTAAGAACCTGCACCCGAAATGTGAGGAATAAATGCTATTGGCATCCAGCAGATGGTAGTTGATGTATTTTCCAGCTGTCACAAGGCTTTTGAAATTCTTCTGTTGTATATGGCCGAGTTCCACCTTTGTGCTGTCAGGCTGAACATAGAAATGACAGCTGCAGGTAGAGGTGTTCTACAGTGCTCTGCAGGTAAAGAGAATTAAGCTGAACCGACAGAAGAGGATTAGTAAATCTCAAATTACTATGTGTACCTTGGACATCGTGATTGGGATATTCCATGTTAAATTCACTCTGTAGAATTATTTTCATTGCATCAAGTCTTTAATTGTTGTCTCTAACCTCGGGTAAGAACCGAGTCACCTACAGCATCTACCTCAAAGACATCTTCCTGACTGTGACACTGAATTGCAACACGTAAAGGTCTTTTGGCTGGTAGAGTCCTGGACTGTTTTCTATTGCTTCTGCTTTGAAGTGTCAGCTTTCAGTGAACTCTGCTAACATTTTATTATTGCATTGAGGCTGAGGCAGAGAAGAGCAATTAAAGGGTTGACATCTTTGATTTTTTTTTAATAGTACGTCTGTCAAAATGCATTTAACAAATCACAGTTGATTCAAAAGCCCAATTAATGCTAAAATGTAAGTAGAATTCATTTCAGTTGGGAGCAAATGAGAATTTTAAAATGTACAATAACAATAAATGGTTGCCTTATTTTAGATACAGGACTTAACTACAACTCTTGTTTCTGAGAAATGAAGTCTTAAAGTCTAAATATTCCTTTCTGCTTCAGGATACAGCTGGACAAGAAAGGTACAGGACCATCACTACAGCCTACTACCGAGGAGCCATGGGCTTCATCCTCATGTATGATATCACCAGTGAAGACTCCTTCAATGCAGTGCAGGACTGGTATGAAATGTTGTTGTTGTTGGATTTGTTTGGTTTTTTGGCCAATTCTCTCCTTGCAATTGCTTGTTGAGAACATTAGACATCCCACCCTCTGGAGTGTTTTGCATCACTGTATTTTTTCCTCTTCATCTAAATTCTGGGATAAATTATTTGCTTTTAAACTCTCCTTAGAAAAAGTTCTACAATTTCAGTTTAATGAAAAAGTTATAATTTAGTTATAGTCAAAATTGTTGATTTTAAAAGTTCTAATTTATTATAAAGAAATTAATCCTTTAATGCATTATTTGACCTTATGAGATTTCTGGCTATGCTGTTAAAACAATCCAGTTTAACAGTGGTTGTTCAAGTCAAATCTCATTTAAAAAATCGAATAAGACTAAATCTTACCAAAACACCTTTAAAAAGTCTTTTTTTTTTTTTAACCTACAAGTGTAGACACATGGTACAGTATTCACCTCGCCTAACTTGAGATAAATAAAAATCTAACTCTAGCTGTTTAAAATATGTGAAGTTTAAATTAGTTTGAGTTGTAATAGGTGGAGGAAGAGGAAGGTCTAGGGCAGAAAGTAACCATACCCCTTGGAAGGGGCCCATCTATTACCACTGACTACAGAAAGCACCTGAACGACTCTGTAAGGCAGTGCTCAGTGTGGAATAGTGGGATGGGGGAGAAGGATTTTCTGGACTTTCCGATGACAAAAAGCCAGGAAATGGTTTTGACTGACAAGAAAACTTTCACCCCATCTCCGGTATCGTGACACCATGCTGCAGGAGGTGAATTCCAATGCCTTCCCTCCTCTGTGCTTCAGTATCTAATGATAGAGGGTTAAATTTTTTCCTTGCTAGAAACACAAACCCAAAAGCTTTGCCAAAACCAGGTTCTTGCAGTGGCACACCCTCCCCCAAGCTCAGATGAAGCTGAGGCACACCCTCCACCAAGCTCAGATGAAGCTCCAAGTGCCTGCACAGGGATTTTTTTCCATAGGAGTGCAGGCCTGTGAGCTAGGGCAATATTCTTCACCAAACTTCAGTACTTTCAGCTTGGTTCCCTGAAGAAACAAGGTATATATGACCAGTTCATCTGCTTGTCTGCTGGCTCCTCTCTGGTAATTTTTACTTAGCAGTCTTAACTTAGCCCCAGAATATGAAATCTCAGCCTACGAGCTGCCACTATAAGCTACTGTTTTAAAGTTTGCACAGGCAAAGTTTAACCTGGAGCTTTGAACTGGAAGTGGTCTAACATTTGTTCCATTCAAAGGCAGTGGTGGAAGAGGGAAAGGGGTTTCATGAACATCTCTGCTAAGAGCACCGTATCAGCCAAAGGACAGAGGGGAACCATCACTGTTGGTATTTTACTCTGCATGTCAGGAATAAGATTCTGAGCCCAAATGATGTAGTGGGGCAGATAAAATCAGCCTGTGTCACCCATTTCCTTCCTTCCTGAAGCCTGTCCACGGGAGAGGAGGTGAGGGCTGCAGCAAAGCCAGCATGGCTGTGCCAGCAGAGTCCTCTAGTGGTGATGCAGCTAAGAGATGGCTTTTTCCCAGTCTTCAAAATCGATTTCTAAACTTCCGAAGGGACAAGAAATGGAAACAAACGCTTTTGTCTGGTGCTGCTGTATCAGCCTCTGCCATTCGCTAGCACAGCAAGTAGGTAGGATATTTTTAGGTTTTTTTCATCATGCTGGGTGATAGAGTTATGCTTCAAAAATCCATTACATCGATCTGGTCTTCAGTCAGGAACTGTATTCTCCCTGGAAAATTAAGGTGTCTACTACGTGAGCTCTTGTAGCTCAGAGCCTTTATCTCCTTGAGCCTAGTCCCTTCTCCAGGTCAAGTGCAGCAGCATGTCTGATGGTAAAACAGAGCCCTAGCAGTCCTGCAGATGCCTTCCTGCTCTGCCCAAGAGGGAGGACCTGGGTAAGAGTGAGAAGCAGGAGGTTTGGGACGTGAGATGGACAAGTGCCTGAACCACCTCTTCTCCACTGAAGAACCTTCAGTAGTGTTGCTCCAAGGTTCCCAGGAAGTGGCAGTTGCAAGCTGCCTTTTACCTTGCAAGGAAGGTGTCTGGCCCTGTACATGAGCTGCCTCTCTGCTTGCAGAGGCTTAGGTAAGGCTACAACAAACCACACTAGTTCTAAGACCATACATGAACCCTCACTGAAATTAAATGGGGCATCCTCCTAGAATATGCGCAAAAGCTAGCAGCAAAGCTCATCCCAGGTCTTCTTAGACCAGAAATGAAAGTAATTGGTCCTACACATTCTTTCTCAAAGTGTCCTGCTATCCTAGTCTGGCTAGTGATGTGTTTTTCAGTGTATAGCCACAGTACAGAAAAAATTCTGTTGAGTTGAATATTTAGTTATAAAGGCAGCATGATGCAGCAGATCGACTGAACTTTTAGACATTGAGAAGAAATCAGCAGTACTCTGTGAATTAAATCCAGTAAGGAACTTGTTAACCTTCCCAGTGATTTCTTAAATAGCATGTGTGGATGGAATTGGAGTGTGTCTCTGGCATAAAAAGATGAGTAAGCCTCCTGCCATGTTATCATGGGACTGGGTTCATAAAGCAAATACCAGCAAGCTTAGGAGGATACCTCAAGAAAATCATCAACAAATAAAATAGGAAGTCCCTTCCACTACCTTTTGGCTGCTGTCCATCCTAGTCCATTCTCATTAGCGGGTAAGAATTTCCCACCTGAATGTAATTCCTCAGTCCTAAAATTGTACCCATTCACAAAACCTTGGAATGGGTCGAGTTGTGTACTGTAGTCATCTGTGTGTTTTACCCTAGGACATTCTCCAGCCCTAAAGCTGGTTCCTTCTTGCTGGTGCCCTGCCTGCTGCAGTTTAGTGATTCAGGGTTTTTAAGATGCTGTGTAAGCAGGCTGTCAACATGAGCCTCAGCCCATCTCACTGCTTTCTCTTGTACCATCTCTTCCTGCAGAGTTCCCTACAGAAAACAAGCCAAAAGCATGAAAAAACAGCTGAACCAGAGACCTAGTCCTCCAAGTAAGCTCTCAGTCGCAAACTCTTGCCTTCTGTTGAGCTCACAGGGGTGCAGAGAGATGTCAGAATTCATCTTTCCAATGATGGGAAGGTAGCCTTGTGCAAAGTCATCTCTCCATCAGAGACGTCTTTTCCCTCCTAGACCTCTCCAGCACCTTCAAGCTCATATCCTCCCTAGAGCTGGGAAATTGCCATAGCAGGTTGTGCTCACTAGCCTAGTTATTCTCCAAGCCTTTTCATGAAGATCCAACATCCCCTCTAAAACAGCCCCCACCTATGTGTGGTGCAAGTTACCGCTCCTCTCTGGCTCATTGACATGTGGCTGTTTTAACAGCCTCTTGACCTGCCTGCAAGGGAAATGAGAGTTCTCTCTTCCAGTCTGCCATATGTTTCCTTCCTTGGGTGATCTTTTTACCACACCTGTCTTATGGGTGGATGTCCTGAAGAGGATTCTGGCTTGCTTTGTGTCACTTCAGAACTAACTCACCTAAACCAAGGAAAGGCACTCTTCCTCCTGAATGAGGACGGTCATGGCTGTATATCAGGTATTTAGACAAGCTCTCGAGGTAGTATATGAGGGTGAGGTACAGTCTTTCTTTCATTCACAGGAATCACCCCAATTAATGATACTGATGTTAAAGCAGCTAAGAAAGAGTAAGACACACAATTTAAATGTACTTGGGAATATCTAGGACATGACCTGTTCTCTTGTTCCTTCACTGGGAAAGGTACAGCAGGTTGTCTGAGAAGCCTTAAAAGGCTAATCCTGAGTGATTTTCCTTACTGTCGTGTGGCAGGAGTACGGCCAGGTTATTTTAGAAGAAAAACTATAACATGGCAAAAGCAAAGATGAATTTTACCTGGCATTTGAATATAACTAACTATTTTGTTTGAATAATAAGATCTCTTTCCTGTAGGGAGAGGGAAAGGGTTAAATGAGCTTTCTTGGCTTTCAGCTCAGTTTCTAGATCTTTTTAGCAGGCTCCTTTGACAGTTATTACTTGACATTGCCTTGATAGTTTTGTGTGTAGAGAAATAAATGGTTTATACCTCATTTGAAACTGCACTGAAACTAGAATATACTCAGCATTTGATGCTGTGAAGTAAATAGAAAATTTCATGGAAACTGTGCTTTGGCCAATCTAGACAATTACATAGAAGGGAAGAAAAATTGGTCAAATTTAATTTAGATTTAAGTGACAGCTGGCTTCACAAATCATCAGCTTTATTTGTCTTCAAGGCTGATCTCCAAATTAGGCTGTTGATATATCCATGAAACTGTGAACCTGAGACTATTTTTCTTCTAAGTGTGAAGCATAAACCCCATGCTTTATTGTTAATTTGGCACAAATAAGTCACAGCATTGTTACTGTGTCACAGAAATATGTTTTTCCAGCGTGTATATTGAGCTGCCCTGATAGATGTTGAAACATCTCAATAGCTCAAGCCTTCTTATTTAGTTATTTACCTTTCCAAAAGCTTCAGGAAATTTGCTGTTTCTTTGTGCAGAGGGATCAGGGTTTCTTTCAGATATTCTTCTTCCTAACTTTGTGTGTTTGTTGGGTTGGGTTTGGGTTGGTTTTTTTTTTTCCTAAGTGTAAATGGCAAGAGAGGATTTTCACTAACTTGTACAAAACAAGAAGGGTGAGTTTCTGGGGCAGATCCTTCCTGCTTTGTTCTTTTTCATTTTCTAAGTAATTCTGTTCAAGTAGCTAAGATTTGGCAGTGTGTCCCCATGCGAGACCCCCCCAGGGGCTGAAATGAATCCAGAGAGAAGAAGGGGAGCCAGAAGAGAAGCAATCTAACACAGGGAAATTTCATCTTCCAGGGCTTTTGGTTGATTTCTGAGGTCATCCCTTTCTGCGGTGAGCCTTGAGAAACCCCAGCATGCCGCATAAACTCATCACAGACTCCTATTAGCTCTCACAGGGCTTGTCTGCGTGGAGGCACTCAGAAGGGTGAAAGTGGAGGAGCTAAAATTGGGATTGGAGTGAGTGCCTTTCCAGGAGGACACTGGGAAGAGTAAGGAGTTCCACTGCACGAAGTCCTTGATTATTTTTGCCTGTTGCAGTATGGGTCTGGGCTTGTGCAGTGGGCTTGGCTTAGGTTTATGTTTTCCAGTGCAGTCCAAACATGCTGCTCTTTAAAGGCAAGTTACACAGTGAAATCACACCCTTTTTCATAGATATCTGTGGAGTAACATGGCTGGCTGTTTTCCATGGAAAAGGCAAGTAAGCAACCCAAACTAATTAAAATTATCATTAGTAGATCAGAGCTGGAGGCTGCTGCTAATTCAACAGAGAAGGAACCAAGTGCTTCATTGTTAAGGGAGTTCAAGCAGACGAAACAGAACTGGGAATCTGAGGGGACTTCTGGCTCTACTGGGAAATGTCAGGTTTTCCTGAAACTGCAGTGTCCTGTATGGAGAGGTGAGGAGTAGGGACAAAGAATGGGAGGGTGTGTAGGGACTGGATGAGGGAAGGAGAGTATCGCTTCTGGCAGAGCAGCCTAATTACCTTTGGGAAGGAGGGAGTCTTAAAAAAAGATAGAGCTAACTTGGTGAAGATAAAATGGATGAAAATGGATGAATACTGTTCTGCTGCTGGCACGGTGACACCTCACCGGGGCTGGTGGGAAAGGACTGACCCCTCAGGATAAACAGGAAAAAAAATCTTCTGTTTTGTCATAGAAAAACAATAAAGAGGCCAAATGTAAGGTCAGACTCCTGGGGGCCACAGCTAGCTCCACTCCAGTTTCAACACATGAGTCACAGAGAGCGTTAGAGGCTTTAAGTTCATTGCAGGGCTCCTGCTAAGCTCCCTCGCACTTGATCCCCCTGTCATTGAAGTTGGCATTTGTCTGATACTTGCTGTCTGTCATTGCCTCTGCTGTTTCCTGCCTTAGGTATTGCTTAATCCTGCTGGGTTCAAATACTAGCTCACAAAGCCTTACCTTGATCCCATGTCTTCCCAATTTGGAAAATTTCTGTTTCTCTTTAGCAACTGTTTCCAAGTTTCTATGCAATTTTCAGTCTCCATGACCAGTTTTCCTGTTCAAGCAAAGGTGACTTGACGCTTCCATCTGTTTGACTCTCAAAACAAAATTTCTTACAGTGTTACTAAAACTCTGCAGCAAATGTGCTAAAGCAAATGAGCATCTTCTTTGTCTGCTCTGAATTAGTGTTGTCATGTGTTTTACAAGTTGTAAATCTAGCATGAAGTGTGAATCTATCGTATGGCTTTCTCTATAGGGACAATGTCCTTAAAAGATGTAATTGATTGCCATTCCTCAGACAGATTACAGCAGAAGGAGAATAAGCTTTAGAATAATGCTTTTTTGCCCCTAGAGTTTGAAAATTATTCAGATCAGCCTGTCGTGTGGATCTCATGATCTTTGAAACACTTGCGAAGTCTTAACACGAAACTTTACTGTCCCACAGAGTTACGGAGTGGTAAAATGGAGTGGGGCTGTAGGTTACACAGACTGCGTTCTTGCTTTGTGTGTAAGCTTGGTCATTGGCCTTTTAATCAACATACAGTCTGGAGATGCTGAAGTTGTCATTAAGTTGACATTAGCGGTTGTTGTTTTCATACTTAATATATGATTGTACTTTGATGGAAGGTAACTGTCTTTTTTGACCTGCAGGGCCACACAAATCAAGACTTACTCCTGGGACAATGCGCAAGTGATCCTGGTTGGAAACAAGTGTGACATGGAGGATGAGAGAATTGTTCCTGTGGAGAAGGGAAAACATCTGGCGGATCAGCTAGGTACAGTCAAAGCGTTTCCTTCTACTCTTTTTCTTCTGCTCCTTTATACCGCCTTCCTTTTAATTTGTATGATCAAAAGTCCTTCTAGCAGTGAGACTTTAATAATGGTGTCACAACTAAGAAGTGTCATGCAGTCTAGGTCCATATTTTACTTGTTTAGTGCTGAATACTACCTTCTTGTAGTGTTGCTGTATCTGTAAAGCTAATATCTGAGGATGAAAGGAAGATAAAGTTTGTCTGGAGAGAGAAGCTTTTATTAGCTCAGTAGAATGAAAAGAGGAAAAGTTTTCATGAACACAATTCTGTCTCCAGGTCTCTAAGTAACATACAGTCATTTTCAGAATGCAAACATTGATTTTTGTAGCAGAAATATGTTTTTTTGTAGCTAAACAATGAAGAAAAAAAAAAAAGGTTTATACATCAGAACTGTAGAGTTGAGTAAAATGTATTTTAAAAATGTAGCAGGCTTCTCTATCCAAGTAGATATCCAATTATGTTATTGATATGGGATAGAAAAAGCAAAACAGTTCCATAGAGAGGAAGCTGGGATTCCAATGAAAATTTTCAAATGAACAGAAAAGTAAACTGATCCTAATTTCTCATTTATTTATCATTCTTCATTATATATTATAACATTTATGAACTTTTTATGTGGAACCAGGACTTCTGTGTTAAGATTTAACTATACTGTCATTGTCTTTTAAGGAATTCATAGTGGCAAGTAAATCCTGTTAAAATTGAATTCCATTAACTGTAGACCCTTAGAGTGGGCATACTGTAAATATTTATTTAGCTTGTAAGAGCAGATATTCTTACCAGACCCAAAGGAATCATCATCCTCCTCCTCAATTTATAAAATCCTATGTTGTCTTCAATTCTGAAGCAGTAATTGGAAGGCCATAATATATTGTTAAACTGGGGATACTGGAGTTCCAGTACACACTGCGTACATTGTTGTAGTTTAAAGTGAGACCTTGATCAAATTGCCAGTTATGGTTACATTTAGATAATGAGTATTTATTAGCTGCGGGATTTGTTGGTGGTGGTTTGGTTTGGTTTTTTAATGAAGCAAAGGTATAGAAACCCTGCTCAAAGATGAGTATAAAGTAGGGCTTTGTGACAGGGACCTGTGTGATATAAACAAAAAGGTGGTCACAGTTCCAAAGAATTCAGAGCAATCAGATTATTTTTTCATGTTTCACGTGCAAAAAAATAAGCATGTCCATGAAGGCCTGCAGGTTTAGAGCCTTAAGTGTAAATTCTACATATGCTAAGCACAAAGGGGTCCCATTCATGACTGGAGCCTTGAGGCACTGCCTTCATAAACAAATAATGAGCAAATATCAAACTAAACCATCTGATTTCCCATCACTATTGTAATAATCATTCTCTACACATTGGACTGGCAAAGCAAACACAGACATGGTTCCTTTGGAAAACCAGTTATGGGCTCTTTCTTACATCTCAGCATTTAATTTGGTTTTGAAAATATGAATGTGAATAAACTCGGTTCCTGGCTTACACAAAACTGTTGTGAATGCATGTGCGCCCACATGTTTTGCAAGAGTAATTACACTGTTAGTAGCTGAAGATTTGTCCAGAAGAATGTAACAGCAAATAAGGAGTTTTACTGGAACTCCCACTCCTATTTGGACTTAGAGTGGTTTTTCTCCCCCCAAAATTCATCTGTTTGTTTAAATACAAACGTGGTATCTAGAATCTGAATTCTTTATGTATGGGACACTTCAGAACACACAGAGCACAGTTACCATAGCGACTGACTCCATCAGTAGGAAACTGTTCGGCTGAAGAATCCCCAGTTCTGCCCCGGCCTGTCCTTGTGCTTGTCCAGCTCACCCTGGGGACACATACCCCAGTGCAGAGCAGAACAAAAGCTAACCCAGCCTTTGGAGAGTGCTCTCCTTTTCTGTAGCCTCCCAACATACTAAAGCTCTTGCTAAAAAGGCTGAAAAACATACCTGATTTTATAAGTCCGTTTTTCCTTATATGAACTGTGCTAATGTGTACAGCATTATCTGAAATTACTTTGTGTGTTAGGAATCCCCTTAATTGACTGTCGACGGCTTAAACTGCTAGCTTTATGGCTCACATAAAGGTTACCCTTCAGCGTGTTTATTGAACTTGGTGCAGTGACATTAACATCAGTGAAATAATTTCCTATTCAGATCAAGACATTGTTATTGAGCTGCATGTGAACTAAACCAAAACAGCTTCAGCCACAGCAAAAGCTTAAACCAGCGTTGGACTGACAAATATCCAAGTGCAGATCTCTGATTTCTTGTGCCTTTTATATACATTCGTAATCATCATCAAAGACAGCAAGTGGGGCAGATGGAACCCTCGTCTCACGCAGGACAGCCATATTTATTTAGTAACGAGGCAAGCATCATCCCAGGATTTGTGAAAAGTGTTGGAATAGGGGTAGATACCTACTTCTTATCTCACACGTCAAGGTGACTCAGACTACCAGCAGTGGCAGACTGATCAGTTAAGAGGACTTATCTTTCCCTCCATTTGTGGCAGAATCAAAGAAAACTGATGCAATGCAGAATATCCCCAAAAGGAAGCACAACAGAACGTAGCTTACTGTGAAATAAACTCTCTGCGGTGCTTGAGCTCTTGCTGTTGGTAGTATAATAACCTGGTAGACAAGAAGCGACAGCCGCTCTAGGTGATGGTTGGCCTTTGAGGCCCCTGGGGTTAGAAAGATAAAGAAATGCTTCACAGTCCAGCGCGTTGCGGCCAGCTGAGGAAGAGTTCAGGCTCATCTGGGAGAAGGCCGGCTCTTGTGCAGGGCGTCAGCGGGAGGCAATGGGAATTGCTGTCTGCGTGCCATCCCTGTCTCGGTGTAACGCCAGCCTTCCGGGGATTTTATCTTTAATCGGAAAGGGTCAGTGTGAGAATCCGTGCTCATCACTGCAGCTAGACTGGACACTGAAATTATTGTAGGAGGCGCACAACATTATCTGTAATTCAGCAGTGCTGAATGGCCCTTGTCAGGACGGGCGCTCTGTTGTGACACGAGCTGTGCAACTATTAATCACCCTGAAAAGCTTTCCGTCTGAACAGCGGGGAAAAAAAGACCAAACTCATGGGGCATTTTGCTCACAAGCACAGAGGTTGGTCAGCAGAAGGAATACAACCACGATATTGCTCCTCTTTCTGGTCCTTGCTCTGGCCAGGCTGCAGCACTGGTCCGGAGAGTAGGCCGGCCGCTGTCGCGCCGGGTGCAGGGAGTCCCGGAGGGGGCCTCCACGCCATACCATGATCATGTCATGGCATCAGCAGCTGCAGCCCAGGGCATCTCCATGATGGAAGAGGGAGATCCAACTCCCTTGCCCTGGATTTATTGAGATCTGTATCGTCTGCAGACGTGTTCACCAGGGCTGCGGTAAGGCCCCATTTATGCCTTTGACACTTACTGATGCTTGATAGATTGTAGAAGTATTTCTGCTCAGTGTTCTGAGATTGTGGGAATCAACTGAGCTTAAGAATTGTCTTGTGTCTTCACCTTAAGGTGAATTCTGAAAAAACAGTATTTTAAAACCCATCTCCATTATCATCAGTTTCCTTTTTTTTGTGTTTTTTTTCTTTTTCTCACAGGTTTTGACTATTTTGAAGCAAGTGCCAAAGAAAACATCAACGTAAGGCAGGTGTTTGAGCGTCTGGTGGATATAATCTGTGAAAAGATGTCGGAGAGTATAGAATCAGACCCTTCCAGGGGCACTTCTGGAAGGAGCATGCGACTCACAGACAACCCACCCCCTTCGCAGCAGAACTGCTCGTGCTAGTGACCTTTCTCGCTGAGAAATGTCGTTCTCCTTTCCTGACTAAATTTAATCTTTTCATTTGTGGTGGTGCATTATCCTGTAGTCCAAAGGCAGAAGTCTCTGTTGTAGGAAACCGGTATGTTTGTTTAATGTGCTAAAGTGTTAATATTGTATATTTCCTCATCCAATAATTTAAAAAAAAAAAAAGACTAAATATTGTAAGTGCACCGAGTGATAATGTGAGTTGCACTGAAGAAAAAGAATTGTATAGTGTTGCAAATGTTATTTCCACAGACAACGTTGCATTTTTAATTATGGAGTACTCTACTGCAGGAAGAGGTTTTTCATCAAGAACAGCAGGAAACATAAAAACCCATTAGAAAGGACCAAGTTTAAAAGAACATAGGGACAAAAATCTCTTATAAAGCAAGAATTTAAAAAAAAATATTTACAAAACAAAAAATCTATCCCCAGATACTGAGTCACTGTTGCTGTCCTCAGGTTTTCTGTAGGACAGAGCAGAAAGCAATGTATTTCTGTCTGACAGTTTGAGGTCCTCCAGAGAGCCAGGTACATGGGGGGTGGATTTTGTGTCAGGCCTCTGAACAGAGAAATGGAGAAATCAAAGCTGCTGGGCAGGAGAGGACGAGAAGGCCTTGCAGCCGTACCTGCGTTTCTCTCTGCTCTTGGCTGGTGCTGGGTGAAAGAATGAGAGCCCTTCCGGGGTTGCCCTTTCCACAGTCACCAGAAGCAGCCTGCAGAGTGCTGGGGTGCTCCCGTGTCGGTCACCTTGCTGCCCTGGTCATTTGTCTCTAGAAGCCCAAGAGCCAACTGACCTGCAGCTTCTTCCCTGTACCCTGTAGTTTTACTTCTCCGGGTCTGGATCTACTCTGATTGACTGCCTGATGGTGGATTTGTTGCAGGACAGAGGGAAGGAGGAATTGGCTGTTGCATGCTTAGTTGGAGGCAAAACCTGACATGTAGGACCTGGAGCAGCACTGTCTCAGAAAGATACAAACACCAGGAGCCAAAATTGAGAGTGTTGGCAAGTATTAGTGCCAATGTTACTAGATATTCTTTCTGCATTTTGTTATTATTTTTTAAAATTTTGTGCTAGATGAGTGAGTGTGTAGGGATAGTTTTTCTGGTTTCAGATTCAACCACCAAGTATAATTAAAAAAAAAAAAAAGGAATGTTGGTTAATAAAACATAATGGCAAATAAAAAATGGCAAAGGCGTCCCGTTAGTCACTCTAAGGATGTTTGTTGCACCATTCTTTGAAGGGAGCAACAATTTTTCATACTTAATGTCTAAAATATTCTTGTCTGAAATCCATGTGTAGAACTCTGTGCATTAGCCACCTGCAGAGCTTGGATTTCTCTGAAAGGTACGGAGGGAGTGCTTTTGCCAACCTGTGAAATTAGACACTGTATGCCTTTATGATCACACGCTTGTTTGCGTGTCCCAGCTCCAACCAGCGATTGCAAATTGCGGCTGTAAATTAGGTGGATACGGAGAATTTGCTGTCTCAGGGTGAAAATTCTGAAAGTTTTATGGCTTTACCTGAGGCTTATGAACTCCACTGACTGAGGAGGCTTCCTGATGCCAGAGACTGGAGTCGAGTATCTGCCCACTGCACTGTAATTTGCTGGATCGTGACCCTAGCGAATGCTGTTGTGCTGTTGTGATTTCGTTCTGTCTCAAAGTGTAATAGTCCTAAGAAAAAAGCACAATATCCTGGAGAAAAAATGCAACCACACTGCCGTGGTTTGAGCTCACTGTGCTAAAGGCTTGATCCCTTCGTTTGTCTGTTGCTTTCAGAAATGTTTACTGTGACATATTTTGGGTGTGCGTGCCCTATTACTGAAACTGCGATTCGTGCAGTGCTAGGAATGTGGTTGTTGTATCTAAGCCCCTGAAACTGCAAAATAAAGAGCAATGGAGTCATCGGGTGTGGCCCGAGAACTTGTGTGAGCTGCATGACTGGCATGTTAGGCAATCGCCTGTGCGTAGAAAGGGTTCATTTTAATGCTTTTAAAATACGTCAAACTGCACTGATCTTTCTTGACAGGGTGATGATCCTTGAGCCCACAATCGGGACTCACCGTGCATGTTTAAAACAGGGCACAGAAAAGGATTATTTGACCACTAAATGTGCAGTGCAGTCTTTGAGTCGTAGCGGAAGCAGGTTTTAGGGCAACTTGTGTAACTCGCAAAAAGAAATAAGACTTCCACAGCAGGGTGCGATGATTTTTGAGCTGTGCAGGTATAATGGAGTACCTCTGTGCACATAATGAGTCTTCAGCTCAGCAACTCGATGGGAAAAGAAAATGGATTCAGCAGAAATGGAATTTCAGTTTTTTCGTTTAATTTTTTTACTAGGAAAAAAGACCTTTCCCTTTTCTACCCAATATCTGAGTGTTTTTCAATGTCTTCCAGTCAAGCCAGATGTGTTTGTTGAAGAAGAATACAAGTACATTCCAGGCCCTTCAAGCTAGGTTGGGCAGAATTGTTTACAGCACAAGCCAGCAAGGAGCTACACGGCAGTAAGGTCTGAAGAACTGGGAAACACAGTTAGGAATTCTACCCTGCCCTATATTGCACACATGGAGAAACCTGGAATCAAATCATCACAGGCAACTGACACATCTCTCCATTAGTGTATGTTTTATGTATCTCGTCATCTTACATTGGCATTAAAAGTGGTGAATGAATACAGCTTGATCCCCAACTGAATGAATACAGCTTGCGTATTCACGAATTGGATAATGCTGAGTCCGGCTGAACTGCAAAGACCAGGCCGTATCAAGAATAAACAGTCTTTCCTGTTAAATAGTCCTGGGTACAGTCTTTAAGCCTTTGCCTTAGGCGTGTGCAGCTGACTTCGGTACCCCAGTAGTCATTGTTACTTGTATGAACTGGAAAGAGGTAACGGCAGAAGGTGAGACAGTGATCTGTAAGGGCAGGGGAAACAACAGACTTGCACTACAGACAAACCCTAAATTCTTGTCGCAGTCTTTCGCAGAGCCTTCTGTTTGACTGGCAGTGGCCTAGGATAGTGCTGATGAAACAGTAGTTACAAGATAAAAAAAGGGATGAAAGGGATGTGAATGTGGAAGGAGAGGTGACTGCTTTTCACAAGCTTCTGCCTGTGGCTTGTAGAATACAGCACTGGGCATGTGGCTCTCCAGTAAAAGGCATACAGGGGGCTCTGGGTTAGGGATGCGTCCTGGCTTCCATCTTGTGGAGAAATAAAGCAATATAATATTGAGGAGACATCCAGTCTGAATTATGTTCCCTTTAGCTGACAGCCCCCCTCACCTGTAATCACCTCTGACCCCTTAACTTTGCTCTCATCACCTCTTGTAGTCAACATAGACTTACAGACAGGAACTAACAGCGCTGATGTTACAGGAATAGCAGAAGCCGCAGACAGGAACTAACAGCTCTGATGTTACAGGAATAGCAGAAGCCTGGACAAACGTGAAACATCCCGTGCCAAAGGAACGTCATGGATGCGACGGCAAGCTTCCTAACAGCTCCCAAAGCGTCACAAGAAGCAGCATTTCAGCAGTGTATGCCACTTGGCAGCACCAGCATCAAAGGACGCAAAACAGGAGGAAAAGCATCGTTCCTCTTGTCAGGACTTGCAATTGCTCCATCGGCTCTGCAGTTTCCGTGGGGAAAACGCCTATTTACCAATTGGGAAATGCTGAGACCCACTGAACTGCGAAGACCAGGCCGTATGACGCATAAACACAGTCCGTCCTGTTCAAGAGCCGTGGGTACAGTCTGTCAGCTCGTCAGGGCAAGAAAAAATCTAAAAATCCAGCCAATAGTGGGCACATACGGGATCACTCACAAGGCCAGTGGTACTACTGGTTCATATAAAACGGCAAAATTAATCCTCGCTCATTGAGTGCTGGAAAACACCAGCTGAAAGCTACTTTTGCTGCCGAAAGTCAGGCGTTCAGAACCCTGAGGACAGTCGCGTTTCTTTACACCGATTCAACGTGGCGAGCGGCCGGCTTTCCCAGTGACCGCCGAGGGAGGCTGGTGGCAGGGATCCCGCTTCTCCGTGCCACGTTTCGCCGGTCTCGGCGGTGCCCGCGGGGGTGCAGGGCCCGGCTCGGCCCAACGGCCGGTCTCAGCGGTGCCCGCGGGGGTGCAGGGCCGGGGTGGGTCGGGGATGAGGGGACGCGCCGCCCCACCAACGGGAGGTGCCGGCCACCGCCCCGCCCTGCGCTGAGGGGACTGTGTCACGCCTCCTAACGTAGCTCGCGTGAGCTGATTCGTCCTGGCAGGAGTGAGCGACAACTACTTGGGCCAATAGTTGAAGGCAATGGGTGGAGG